GCCGTTCTGGTAAACGAGTCCAGAACAGGTAAGTCCTGACACTGCAATCCTGGATGAGCGTGAGGCCTCAAAAGAGAGCAAGAAAGAGAGAGCACTCTGAGAGTCTGAGAGTAAAAGCCCCTGGAAGAGCAAAAGCCCTTCTTTCCAGTCAGCCCTCATCTATATGCTGGGCATGACACTGCATGACATAGAATCTCCATTGGTCAGTTTAGCCCTCAATCCTAAGTCTTAAATTCAAATCATGAGGGAAGTTGTGGACCCTTTGTCCTGGCTGCTCTCCCCTCCAGCCTGTCGTGCTCCTGCACACTGGCAAAACGTAGGAAGCTGAAAAGTCGTTGAGGTCTCAGGACCAACTATAAACACCAGTGCACTATCGACATTCTTCTCATAATGAATCCCAGACTAAAACCAAACCACAGAGCTCTTCTAGCTGCTCAAAAGAACTAACTCCGTCCCAGTCGAAACTGGGACAATGAGAAAGGCCTATGGAGGTCTGAGTGTTCTGGATGAATATGAACACACCTCTAAGGAGTAGAAAGTGTAGCACTACTGCCCTTAAAGCATTTGTAATGTATGCATAAAACCTACATCTGCTGCATTAGAATGAGGCTAGAAGAAAGATGCTGCAGCCACCTCACCTGCTGCAGGGCAAGGCTCAGAAGGCACGTTTAAACAGGACTTTCAGGGAGACGAGTACAGCTTGGGTGAGAGAGAAGGGTGCACTAGTACATACAGCAAGGATAATCCCAAAGAAAAAGTGGGGATAGTGTCTTTTAAGAACTGGCCACTGGTTAGTGGGAATACTTTCAGGGAGAAGAACGTGAAGTGGAAATCAGTCACATACCTTGTAGGATAGAAGAAAAGGGACAGAAGTTCTAGAGCAAGAGAGAAAAAAAATACATATTTGGGATTTCCATAAAATTTAGGCCTGGGCAGGGCTAGGCAGAAGAAGCTCTTAGTATCAGAACCTCAGCTCTGGTAGCCCTGATTTCTCACAAAATCCCATTTTGGCAACTCACCTTCCTTTTTTAGATCTTGTGTCTCACAGATACCAATTCTGAATGGGCTTGAGGGTGGCTCTAACCCAGCTGAAGAAGGGTTACTGTGCCAAAAGCCTGTGTTTCTAACTGAAGACTTGAGTCTCGATTCCTGTGGCCTCCATTTAATGCATCCTAAATTAACTCACCAGGCAACAGAGTATGAAATCGGACATGACCGATCGATCCTTCGGCATTGATTCAAAGCGAAACTAATGGAATGTAAAGAAAATGTAAGAATCTATCGTACTGTAAAGGGTGCCTATTTAGCCATTTTACAAAATAAAATTCCATCTAGGAGCTGGGTGGAGGTGTAATGTTTGAAGAACCTGACTAAAACAAGTCATAGGGACCTTGCAAATTATCGTCATACAGATCGAGCCTTGAGGGAACAGCTTTGTTAGATGCCACTGACTAAAATAATTGCATGATAATTTTGGCTAGAGGCACCATCCTATCATCTGATGATTTTTAAACTGTGCACGGACAGTTTAGACTGAGTGATCTTGGCATCCAGCTACGAAGAACCGAGATGTCCGCTCAGCGTACCACGTCTATGCTTTGGCTCTTGGAAAAAAAAAAAGCTGTCCTAGCACTGTCGGAGGAAGGTCTCTGAGCTGTAGCTATCAGCAGCACGGCATGCTCCTTCTGCAATGCTCTAAGATAGACTAACCAGGGGCTAAGGTAAGCAGGAGAAAAATAATTCTTCTTAGGGCAGTATGGAGCAGGCAGGTCTCTGTCAGACTCGAAGCAATATAAATTAAACCTAGGAGTATTTACATCTTAGTGTTTAACTCTTTTTGACAAGAAATTTAACTGTGTCAAATCACAACTGATGAAAACCTGGCATAAATTTAATATCAATGTGATTTGGATAGTGGTAAATGATCAAATGAACTTTAAAATGAAGAAGTAACAAAAACAAAAAATAAAGAAATTTCTTCCAAGAGAAATGGTGGATTTCCATCTCATTCTAACTGATTACATGCATGAATTTTTATTGTTTGAAATAGCCACATAAAAATATTTGGATAGACACAATGATAGTTGGATAATATAATGAGAAATGTCTCAGATAAGTACTATCTATAATAAAAGTGGAGTACTTCTAGTATACTAGGCTAGTATATTAGAATACTAGAATTTGTAGTCTAGTAGTAAACTGGAAATAATGATATTGTTGATATTTCAGATTACCCTCTTACAGTAAACTGAAATTACTCTGTCACACAGAACTCAAATAAGACCAGGGAAGGGAAAGATGGAAAAACTGGAAACACATTGCTATGACAAAGTTGTAAAGTCATTTTGACTGATTTCTTAGAAACTCTGGCTTTTGTGGCTCTAGATTAACTTCTTTGCTTTACACACAACTTTTATCATATCAATATTTATATTGCAGTTCTACCAACGCAGATTTGAGGGAAAGCGTCTTGGTAAAATAAGCTCACTGAGAGTGAATTAGACCATTCCTACAATTACTCTGGGGACAGAGTTGTTTAAATACTGGCCAAAACAACTTAAGAAACAAAGACATGGGTAGCACCAGAGTGATATGTTTATACTCCTCTTCTATCCTCTCTTGCCCTGAATGGTTATATTCACTTTCTGTTCCAAAATGGGCAATGATAATTCCTACTGCTGGAGGAATGCTAGCATTTCATCTCTGGAATTAAAACGTGTCTCTTTCCTTTGTATTCCTGCATTTACATTTTAGCATGTCACTTGTTGGTTTTTTGGTTTGGTTTTGGGTTTGGGTTTGGGTATGCGTTTTTTTGTGGAATCTATCAATTTCGGTAACGGACCAGCCATTTGCAAGGCAGCAAACACACCCAAAGCTCCTTTGCTTAACTGTTGTGTTGCCATCATTCAGTCATCTTTCAGGGGAAGTGGCACAGAGCAATCAGCAAGAGCCACCCACTTGTACTTGGCCTCTGGAATACTCTGGGTTTGGGAGCTTGCTCTATGTAAACCCCTGCTTCTTGCTTTACTGAAGGTGAACTGTTCTATATCAGCATTTCCAAGCTTAGAAAAACAGATTCGACATTGTCAGGTTGCGATGTAACATTTTCCGGTAAACATTTCAACGTATGAACATCTTTACACCCACACAACCTATGACATCGCAGCAATTTGAAATCTACTCTGAATAAAATCCATATGAAGTTGGAAGAAAGATCTGACATTGTTCTTTAAAGATGAGGACAATGGACTACAGTAATTCTTTCTGACTTTCTTTCCATGTATCTTATTTCAGTGATATACATGAGAGGGAAGGAGTGGGGAAAAAAAATATTCCAGATGCATCACAGCACCTAAGGAATTGCTTGACTAGCTAGGTTTCCATGACCAGTTCCTTGTGCCAAAAGGGAAATTCCTTGGGCAGGTTCAAATTTGCAAAAAAAAAAAACCAAAAAAACGCAAAACATAGAAATGTAATAAAAAGGTCTGTAGGATGCCTATGCAGAAAGTGATTGCACTGTTGGTTACAATCTAAAATCTTTACTTGCAGTGTGGATAAATACAGCCTCCAAGGAGAATTGTGCTACGGGGGATCATGTCATAAACCATAACCAAGATCTGTTGATAATGGTGATATCACCCAGCTGTGCTATCAATTAAAACTGTGTAAGATTTTGAGTACTGCAACCAGCCACTCTTAAAAAAAACCTTAGAAATTACACTTTACTAAAAGGTGTGGTTTAGTGGAATTTGGGAAGTTTTGAAAGTATAGTAGCATTAAAGAATTAAGTGTGAACTCTAACGTAGATACGATTTCAGTTGCTTTCAATATTTAATTACCACATTAGCCAAAAGAATTCCAGGGACACAACACTGAATGTGTGGTGCCTTCACAAATAAACAGACAAATACCTTGTATTTGCATTTCCTACATTACCTGAAGCTCCTGAAGAACTTCCAGAGAAGCGACTTGGAAATCAAGAATCTGGCAGCAGAACATAGATCAATTTGCTGACATATCACAGATTCTGGGAAAGAGAGAGTTAAAAAGATCATCTTGCACTCACAGCTGAAAGCCTCCACATCATTCCATTAAGTAATCCTTGTTTTATTTATCTCATATGTTGAAGTTTATAATTAAGATGAAGTCTTGGTGATTCAGTAAGACTTTAAATTAATAAAATTAAAAATATTCATCCTAGAAACACTCAATTTATTAACAGTATCCTAGAACTGAGGCTATTTGTACCTGTAAGCTATATGTAAATTAGCTATGTGTTTGTAGTTTTAGGAATCCAAGGAAGAAACTTGTGGATTGCTACCCTGGTAGGTGGGAAAATATTGAGTGGATGGCATTAATAATGCTACTACCTTGGGGTACAAAATGAAACATTTTTCTGTCTCAGTTATAGGATACTTCTCAAAACTTTGTCAAACAAATGAAAGGCATGAGCAGTATATAGTATTCTAGTTGGTTTTCGCCCAAAACTATGGCAAAGCCACAGACAGTGGAAAGGAGCGGGTGTAGAATTCAACTATAGTTGGCAAAAGATTTGCAAAGTGAAAAAAAATTGTCTTCTTTCCTAGTGGGATGAAAATAGCGTAAAACTGTAGGCGGTTAAGAAGTGCTGTGGCTTACAGCTGAAATCAATCTCTCTTAAGCTTAAAATAATCTCACGTTTGCACCTTTCACCAGTAATCATGAAGTCTGCATTCATTTAAAGACCCAGTAAGTCGAAAATCACAATGGACTTGCAAGAGCTCTCCTGCTACAAGAAGAATGTATATGGAAGATCATTACTAAAAAACCCAAACTAAACCAGGCCATTTCCAAAAGAAATCCAGTATTGTATTAAAATAACATCATTTTTTGTGTTTCAAGAATGTATATGGAAGATCATTACTAAAAAAACCCAAAATAAACCAGGCCATTTCCAAAAGAAATTCAGTATTGTATTAAAACAACATCATTTTTTGTGTTTTAGATATGAACTTCTGACCATGGGGGACTGGAATCTGTTGGGCAGCATCCTTGAAGAAGTGCACATCCACTCCACCATAGTTGGCAAAATCTGGCTCACAATCCTGTTCATATTCCGGATGCTGGTGCTGGGAGTGGCTGCCGAAGATGTCTGGGATGATGAACAGTCCGAGTTCATCTGCAACACGGAGCAACCTGGCTGCAGCAATATCTGTTACGACAAAGCCTTCCCCATCTCTTTGATCCGATACTGGGTACTGCAGATCATATTTGTCTCTTCTCCATCGCTGGTTTACATGGGCCATGCGCTCTACAGACTAAGGGCTCTCGAGAAAGAGCGGCAGAAGAGGAAAGCCCACCTGCGGGCTCAGCTAGAAGACCTGGAGCCTGTGCCTGAGGAACACAGGAGAGTGGAGAGGGAACTGCGTAAGCTGGAGGAACAGAAGAAAGTGAATAAGGCACCCCTGAGAGGGTCCCTGCTGCGCACCTATGTCCTACATATCCTGACCCGGTCAGTGGTCGAAGTGGGTTTTATGATAGGTCAGTATCTTTTATACGGGTTTCACATGTCCCCCCTTTACAAATGCACTCGGCCCCCTTGCCCTAACACGGTGGATTGTTTTGTGTCCCGACCCACAGAGAAGACCATCTTTATGGTTTTCATGAACAGCATCGCCGCCGTCTCCCTGTTCCTCAACATCCTAGAGATCGCCCACCTGGGCCTCAAGAAGATCCAGAAGAGCCTCTACGGGCGGCCGTGGCGGCTG